GTGTGTGTGTGTGTGTGTATGTGTGTGTCGCATGTCTACATGTGTGAATAGGATTAATAATGCTTGTGACACAGGCTTGGCTATGATGATCAATTTATCTAATGGATTATTAAAGAACATTTTTTCCTTTAAAAAACACAAATATTAAAGAAATCTTTTTAGATGGAAGTGAAAAGAATATAAAAAAATTTTAAATCTACGATTTGATGATATAATATCAAATTGTAAATCCAAATTATTTCGAATATGTTACCCTTTTCATTTTATATAAGCTTTATATATAATATATATAAGTTTAAAAGACAGTTGAGTAATCATGTTTTCCAAAAATGGAAAAGCTAAAGCTTTCGCCATTCGCATATAATTGGCAATTTCCATCCAAGAAATATCCTTTGACACTCGACATTCCCATGTGTTTGACCGTCATCGATGGCCTTCATAAATACTCTCGTTACGGAGGGAAATTACCTCTAAAGGGAGTCGGTTATTCAAGGTTTACGGCGTCGATTGTTTGCGTATGCAGCACCGTCAAGGATCGCAAGAAAAAGTGAACGACAGCGCGTCGTACACATTGATGTAACGCGTCGCGACGCCAGGCGGGTGAGGCAGCAACCCCCGTCGACGCCGACGCCGACGCCGACGCCGACGCCGAGCGTCGACCACCTCTGTCCATCAGTCAGAGCGCCGCCGCGAGGACGCTCCGTACGGTGTACGGTGTTAACGCGAGCAGCGGCGATCGCGGCACGTTTCCTGGGAGTGGATCCACACCCATGTCTCAGGGCGACGTACTGCTACGCAGGGGTGCCGGGGGTGCGTGAAATCGCGCGCGAGACATATCGCCGCGCACTCGACACTTTCCACTCGAACTCCCGTCCGAGCATTTCCGAGCAGAAATTCTACTCGAATCATTTTTCCTCGATGCATAGATAAATGTGAATTTTACGAGTGTAAATTAAAGTAAGAGAATTGCGAATGTCGGGTCGCGTAACGCAAGGATGTGGCGAGCGTCGTCCAGATATCCATCGAAGTGGCGGTAAAGTACGATGAAACGCGTATGACGAATGCACTTGCAGGAATTTACGGGTACCGCGGAAGTTGCAAGACCCGCGGGGCCCGCATTAAAATTACACGACATAGCCTACTTTTTTTTTTTTTTTTAGTATACACGTGTATCATATTTTATGATTTCAGCTTTGCGAAACGTGTTTGCGTTTGTTGATAGATAGACACTCTCGAAGCTAAATATATTTTTTAATGCGGATTTTATTTATTCGAATACGAATGTATTCAAAGTTTAATATTTAAAATCGGAATACAGCTCAATGTTCAATGATTAAAGTTGAAGAATACATTATTATTTGGCTCAAAATAATTTTTTAAATTGTATTTGATAATGCGATTTTTTTTAGAAAGTTAGATACGTCGAGGAACGTGGCGTTGCAGGCATGCAATTTTCGCGCGTTGTACGCATTGTTTTTTTCGCGAAAAATTCGCATTGAAGTGTGTTTGACGCAAGCGTCATTATATTTGCAAGAAATTATTTTTTAGAATATCGCATGCGTGATCTGAATACGTGAACGTATATAAAATATTCGAGGCTAAATTAATTAATTTCAATAGAGGATACTGACACGTGTGTCTACATTATAACTAAATTCGCTATCGTAGCTGAATAATCGATTTTGCAATTTTTACATAAATTACGCAAATTGCGCGAAAGTATGTGTAATTATCAGTCTTTTCTACGTAAAACGTTAATGTTATTACTTTTATTACTATTAATCGTGTATAACTTATGTATATATGTTTGCATGTATGGATTTTTTATATAATCAGAAATATTATAATCTCTCTTTTTTTCTCTCGTACACACGTACTTTACATATACGGATATACAATAGAGATAAAAATATCTTAATTTCTAGAAAATAAATTTAATAAAACGTTTTTCTATAGGGAGATGTATTTAGCGGACTATAATAAATTCGGCGATAGAAGTTTCTATTGTACGAAATTTCATTATAGATAGGGAGATATTGACATGAATAATTCCCGAACGGGTAATTTGCGCATCAATAGGAAACTCCCTTGTATGTGTTCATAGTGACGTAATGCTACAGTATCTCGCGCGTTTTCCCGCGTGACGTAAGATCAGGCCTGTCCAACATTTTGCTCACTAAATGCTTCCATTCTTTATCTCATTAAAGAAAATAGAAAAAAAAATGAAAACGGATACGGATATTAAAGCTCTCTCTAAAGTCCAGGATGAAATGAAAGCATTTACCTCGCGAGCAAAATTTGGATAGGCCTGATTTAAACGTAACATGTGCCAACATTGTTAAAATATGTGAAATTTGCTTTACAATAAATTTCATGTGCCACTAGTAAGCTTCGGCATATTGAATTGTTTCAAATGCATCACAAAGATTTCAGATGTTTCGATTATTATTTAAAACTTTTTAAAGGTCATGAAGATTTTATAATATGTTCCATTGCGAGGTGTTCAATGAAAAAAGAACAATAGATTTATATGTATCATGGTACTCGTAGGATTATAGGAGGAAGTATACATTTTGGCAAGGAGTGAACGGAGGAATGGGTAGGTGGCACAGGTGGTGACATGATGCAATTTGGTCCCTAACGTCTGATAATCATCCAGTTCGAGGGCAGGTCTGATACCATCGTCATAATGAATCGAGAAAACGAAGAAGTACGTCAACAAGCGCGAGATCGTTCATTTCTTTTTTTTCCTTTTTTCTTATTTTTTGCAGTCAAATCAATTCGTCACATATAAAATTTATAATAAATATATTAATCTTATACGAAGACTCTATTTCAAACCTTGGACGTTACGAATAACTTGCAAGGCGCGAGTTTAATCATAAAGTGGGATTCCAAATATAAAAATAATTATTATTATTAGTTTTGTCATAATTATATTACAGAAATTATAGATTAGTATAACAGTTATAGAAAAGAATTAATATCGTTAATTTGATATGATGTAATAGATCTCAGAGTTCTATTTAAATAAAGAAGAATATTTTATTTAAAAAATTATTATTATTGTTAAAAAAAACATCTTGATCATACCATATCTATATATTTGAAAGCTTTATTTTTATTGATAACACTAATTAGATGGATATGGTATAGTAATCATTTAAAATAAATTTTTTGTTACTTTTCTTAGATATATATATGTATTATTACTTATTACTTTTATTATTATATATTCCCGGTAGAGATTAATTTTTGACTATTTGCGCTCTCGTTTTTTCGCTTATTTACTATTGCAGATAACTGACAACTCCGCGCATTATTCTTTCATTTTCAGCAGCGACCGGTCCCCCAAACGCTGTGCGGAGCGCTGCAAAAGGAGCCGAATTGTAAATGTTTAGTGTTGACAGTTCTTATATATGGCTGTCTCGCGGCAGTAACGTGGTGTAGATGTGCCAATGTTATCAAAGTACGTGAAACAAATTCTACAATTGATTTCGTACCGCTAATAATATGCTTAGACATGTTGAATTTTTGCAAGTGTATCATAAAGATCTCAAACCGTTTCGATGTAGCTACCAATGCAAAAATTTTTACAATGGCCCATATTCTGAATCTTCTATTGATAAAAAATGTTTAAAGTTTATAAGCCTTCTGATTGATTATAAATCATTTATAGAGATACTTTTATCAACAAAAGAAGATTTAGAACGTGAGCCCATATTTTCTATTTTTTGACATTATTAATTTAGAATGGCAATAAGTCAACGAATTTAAAATTTTTCGAGATATATAAGATTTCGAGATTTTTTTAAAATTTTGAAGAATTTTTCGAAATAATATTCAAAGCCATTCGAATCTCTTTGAAGTCTTTCAAATTAAAAAATACTTTTGAAAGAAGAGTTCTAGCATCCATTATTACTACGCCGCATGTACGGAGAATTCTCTCTTAGACTTGCAAATGAAAATTCCTCCTCTTTTTCTTTAGATTATGGTCAACTACACTAAATACCCCATCAGAAGTACAAAGCATGTATCATCACCCTGCGACGACGGCTATATATATATTCCGGTACGTATACTGAAATACGGAAGAAAAGAAGGTGAAGAGAAAAGGAAGCAACTCGATCCCATGTCACGCATACTGTATCTTTTTTCTTTGTTATGAATCAATCCTGTGCATGTCCCTCTTTAAAAAAGAAATTACTCGACGAGGAGTAATATCGACTCTCCTCGCTCGGATCTTCCACCGCTCTTCACACACGCTTGAATGCATATCGCGCCACCCCCTCGGCTCTTCCATCACATTCTCTATCCCTCTCTTTTGTTGTACAGGTGGCATTTATGGGGATGCTGTATCTGGTTTATCTGGTAGAGTGTTACCATTCGCCAATCAGAATCGATTTACTGTCATGCAGAGAGCCAGGACAGCGTGCTGTCCAAATTGGCGCAGCTAAAGATGGC